TAACTAGAAATTATTTCATACTTTTGAGTGCAGTTTGAATATTTTTTCGAAGTCGGTTATATGTTTTTTCTAAAAATTATTTTATGTCAAAATCGATTAATACACTTCGTTTTTGAAAATTTACTGTCTTCTTTACTCTAGAAAACAATACTCTATGGCTGTAACCAAGGTAATCGCATCTCTGGTCTTCCGTAAATTGTATTGCCATTGTTTTCTCTTCGAGAAAGTTGTCGGTTGTATTTTCTTATATTTTTTACACTTTCATCGCATTTTTTTTACTTTTTTCGTGTCGTTTGTTATTGTTATAATAGCAATTAAATATCTAGTAATCCTAGTGTTTCTAAGTCTAATTTCTTTCTTTTTTATTACATATTTTATGAAGTGTTATAAATGACTCGATATTGTTGGAATATTTACTAAACAGCAACATGTCATTTTATTACAAAAATAAATGTACTGAGAATAAATGTACAACGTTATATCTGTCACTGCAGAATAACGAAAGAGAAAGTTTTCGTTTAGGCTATGGCTTCCCCTCTCAGGTGCCTGAGTGGACCCTTCCTGTAGTTTACTAAAGACTGAACAGATGTGCTGAAACTACGCTGTATACAGCTAGAAATTTTATCTATGGTTTTCTTTTAACGTTCATTAGTCTTGTGCAGATCCTCGTTGAGAAAAGATCACAATATTCTCGTGGCAATTTAGTGAATAAAGCTAAAGTTAATCTACAAATTTAGTATTCTATATTATTTAGAATTCTTTTATAACTTAATGTTTCACTTAATGCTCAACTATTTTTCAAATTTCTCACCAAAACAAATGTACGAATTTTGTTAGTAGGAGACAAATTTTAGTATACACAATTTATATTTTCAATTAGATTTTTAGTTATTAATATACAAAAAATAAACAGTTTTAATCAAGATACCTAATTATGTAAAAAGAATTGTGGAATTACAGATATACCGTGTACAACTCGCATTATAAAAACGAAGACTGAATTGAACGCTGATCTCTGTAAGACTAAAGAACTAAGAGAAGTCTGCATAAATTTTCTTCAAAGTAGTTTTATTAGTTTTCTATTAGAATTCCAGCTCTAACAGTATTGTTGTTTAGTTATTCGATATACGAGGCATAGTGTTGGTAAGGGACTGCATAAGGCTTATTGTTGGTATAAGATATTACAGATATTATAGATATCGCAGAACAAATCAATACAAAACGTAAAACTCAAATTATGATAAACAAATTCGCTCACAATGTTTCTTTCATTTGAGCTACCTTCAGAATGTGCAACTTTAAGTCTTTGTATCACTCACATTTTTTGTTAAATTTTATTAATTTTCTTGGTTTCGTAGTCACTGCAAATTTAGGAAATAATACGAATTTGTTAAAATTTAATACGAGAAAGTTGAGTTTTTAGATCTATGTCACAAAATTTCCCAATTCGGACCATTGTACGATGTCGAATAACTTACCCGCTACTCGCAACGTGCGAACAAGTATCGTGAGCGATTTTTTTATACAAGGTATCCCAAAAATGTTGTAACACCTTGAAATGGGTGGTTCGGGAAGTGATTTGAAACATTTTCTTTAGCGAAAATGTTGTCCGAGGCTTCGTTGAGGAGATATTAACGGAAAACACTGACCAATCAGAGCGCGTGTATACCGTTGGAGCGGCTACGGTAACGTAGGCTACGCGCTAGGTGGCCGCGCTCATACGCTACCGCGACCGCTCCACCGGCATACTCGCGCTCTGATTAGTCAGTGTTTTCCGTTAATATCTCCTCAACGAAGCCTCGGACAATATTTTCGCTAAGAAAAAAGTTGTTTTAAATCACATCTCGAACCACCCATTTCAAGATGTTACAACATTTTTGGCACACCCTGTATACACGCGTTAATTGACTAGAGTAATGTTATACGTTAAGTTTGTATAATAAATTATGGTTACGCTAATCATATTTTCATTACTTACCTCGTTCTCGCACACGCTACTGCCTCAGAACGAAAACGTGATTATCGGTTTTTGCTTTTAATCGCCCCCTTACCTCGCTCTACTCCTCAAGATGAGATATAGACTTGAAACTTGACACATATTATTTTCTTCCTATAAACTACTGAATGATACATCACAAGACAAATGCAATTTAGGGGTACATTTGTCCCCTTATCCGGCTATACCCTTTCGACGTCATTTTGTTCCGTAGTGGTAAAAACAATTCGATGTAAACTCGAGGAAACGTCAATCGTAATCCATGGGATACAATTGCGTAACACGTTTAATATGCAAACGGATTCGCGGCGTCGATTATGGCACAGTCTAAACAAGTTATCGTTTCGATTAGATGATTTCTAATTCGATTTAGAGCCAAGACGACAAGTATTAACTGCTCGGGGTCTTCTCGATTTGCTAATTCACTTATTTGTATCGGACGATGTGTAAATGAAATGCAATAGATTAATCATTTGTTGCGTGAATCATATCCGACATAGCCCGTTAAATGCAAAATATACTTATTGTTGGTTGGAATTTGAATAACAGGATCCCATGGCTAACTCGACCATAACAAATAGCATAAAATATGTACTGCAATTTACTAATTTTATTTGTTCCATTTGTCCATAAAAACTGATATGCTATGCAATCTTCTGTTTGTCGCCGAAATGGAATGTTCATTCCTTTCAAGGAAATTCAACTCATTTGCGCGACATGTATAATTTTGTAAAATTGGTAAGAAACATTGTAGTATACTGATTATACAAATCAATGAATGGAACTGAAAGAAGTATTGACTAAACTGCAACCATGTGACAAAAAGAAGAAATAGTGATCACTTTATATTGCTTCAAGCTATCGTCAACCACGTATTGTCATTAAAAAGTGTAATTTAGCCTGAAGATAGATGTATACAGGGTGTCTACGTATAAGTTCGGCCATACGTAGGATGCCAATTATACAACAAATTCCCAACAAAAAATGACTCTTAGACATCTGCTTCGTGCCGCCTCGTTCTCGAGGATTTTCACTTTTAATTTTTTTCGGTGCTTTCAACTTGACACTCTCTAAACTTCAAAACCCATGCGTTTGCTTGCCTAGCTACCAGTAAATTGCGCCGCTTTCCTAATTCGGCAGAGGTTACAGGTCAGAGGTTAGGTTGGAGATGGGCGCATCAAGTATTAATGCTAAAAAAAAGAAGAGAACAAAATGTAACACCGTTTAAATCGGAAAATGCCCGTGCTCTCTCTCTCTCTCTCTCTCTCTCTCTCTCTCTCTCAGCTTTTTCCCCGCAAGTTGATAAGGTAAGGTGTTCCAACTTGTCCTTCAAATGCGACACTTTCGTTTTGTGTATTTCTTGTTTGGATGGTTTGACATCTAGCTTCTTACTTTCAACCACCGTATCGTTTCAATTATCTACCTCGACGTTATCGTCGTCATACCCACTCAGTCATCCAAAGTTTATACGTAAACTGCTACATCCTTATTCTGCCCCTCAACTTCAATAACCTCTCCAGTATTTTCATTTGTTGGATTTCAGAATGGGTTTGAATAAACCTTACTTCAACTCAATGTTAAAAGATATTCATTATTATATTTGGTTTCGAATAATTAAAGTAAAAGTAATACAATAAAGAAAATAATAAACTTAAAACAAGTCCTCTCTACATTCTCTCATACTGATATCAAACGATACTTGTTAGTCTCTCAGATACCAACCACACTCACATACTACATCCTGTATAGTACTGCCCTCACCTACCATATATTAGTTAAAATTATGATTGGCGCCAAAATCAAATTTAAATAGCCTTATTCTAACATCATTCATATTTTTCTTCTCTACGGATCAACGCCTTAAACAACATTTAGAACATTATGCTGTTAGACCGGCACGTTACGGGTATTTCAACTTATTGGGACGTGGGCAACTTTCTACCGTAGCGGATACCGTTGCATCCGATCGTTTCACCACGAACAACACAGCCTTATCGCATTACGTTACGCGACATTCTTTTTCTCAACCGTCTCAATTTACACAATCCGCCTGTCTCTCTCTATCCCGGCCGAATCCCCAATTGTACGATTTGGGATTAATCGAGGGTAGCGAATAATTAAGACGCACGAGAAATGTCAAACATGATATATTTGAATAATAGAATTGAAATGTATAAAAAGATTGATGCAGTACATCTGTACGCTACGACCGTTACATGAAGATAGAAAGACTCTGGAACACCCTCTTGCCACTTGCATCGAAACAAAAGATAACGAGGTACGAGTCCTAGCGAAGCTGCCCGAAAAGTGTTGAATACATCGACCGACTTTTCTACCGATCGAAACATAACCTCCCTTCATAGGTTTACTAAAATGCAGCTTTGGCAGAGCTTCCAGCTATGGTTGGAGGTGGTGTGTGTTAAAAGGATAGAAACTTCGAGTCTTTAGTCACTTTTCGGAAGAGTGAGCTGTAGAAAGTGAGTAAAGATAAAGTTATGATTTTCTGGAAAAGGTAATGGATTAGAATTATGCTTCACGGGATAATAGGATAAAAATGAAAAGGCTACTGTGTGTTACAGGGAAATAGGGATAAAGGGTAGTGCAGTTTCGGCCTTAAGGGTGCGCAGCAGCCAGAGCCAAACTTCGAGTTGACTTCAGCGACAGTTGCGGAAAAAGTAGGAAACCCCGGGATAAGGACAGAGAGGGCGATACAACAGTTGCAGGAGAGACAAGGACAGGGCGATTAGGCTAGCATGATTTTTTTCCAGGATATTGAAACAAAGAAACAATATTTTCTAATAATTCTGGTTTTAATATATTCGTTACACTTTGGCGGATGCGACTCCAAGGCCTGATTTTGCAATCTCGGCTTTGAAACTTTATAAACAATAAAAGTACGTTTGGTATCTTCATTTTATTGTTTATAAAGTTTTAAAGCTAAAATTGCAAAATCAGGCCTTGGAGTCGCATCCGCCAAAGTGTAACGAATATATTGAAACCAGAATTATTAGAAAATATTGTTTCTTTGTTTCAATATCCTGGAAAAAAATCATGCTAGCCTAATCGCCCTGTCCTTGTCTCTCCTGCAACTGTTGTATCGCCCTCTCTGTCCTTATCCCGGGGTTTCCTACTTTTTCCGCAACTGTCGCTGAAGTCAACTCGAAGTTTGGCTCTGGCTCCTGCGCACCCTTAAGACAGAAGAAAAAAATTTCACCAGATACTGCAAGAAATAATGCACAAGAAACAGGAATGTTGCCTTGTAATACGTGTGTGCACGCAGTAAAACTACAATAGTAGTATTAGCAGTGCGACATATTTTATTATATTTCACATCAAGAAGAGGAGCATATAACATCATCAATAAAAGAGTAAATAAAATCCACAATTAAAAGTAGATAGTGTTTACCATTATTTGATAAGTAGTTGTGTGCGCTTAAAGTATGTGTACTATCGTTGTAACTATTCTTGTGGGTTTTCTGTTTCCACAGTCTTTGATTGATATAAGCAGCGACAGTCATTCCAATAAGAAAAAACGAAGGGATGAATTGCTTATTTTATGAAGCAAATAATTTGCTGACGAAGCAACAGTATTTTGGTGCTCTCCAAAGATAGGAGTTGCCGCTGTGAAATTCTAGTATTTTATCTGAGTGAAGGATATCTGGTAGTAATTATTAAAATACCACAAGATGAATCGTGCAAGTATTACAGGAAATACGATAAAGTTTGACAGCTATATTGAAATTTGCCAGTTAAAATATACTACGATCTGACAGAGTGTACAACGGAAGGAATTAAGTGAGCTGTATGTAATGTTTGTATGAAAATTATGATTTCTATTTTTATTTTAAGTTCTGCGTTAATTTGCAACTAAAATATGGTTTGTATGTGTTACAGATAATTGAAGTATAAGATGATGATGAGCGGTGTGCGTAACAAATTTGCTGGTATTTGTATTAATTTATGAATTGAACGAATAAATATTTGTAATTAATAAATTAATATCATATGAAATATATACATTCACTTTCTTTACCTGCTCTCCTTTTATTTTCTTCTCTTCAATTAAAAAAATAAGAAGTCTGTGTATTTGTCGCAGGGAAATGATAAAAATAGAGATTTGATCAAATCTCTAAGGTAGATGATTAATTCACGGGTGATGTTAAAATAACAACTATGTGAGGTTATTTCCCTACAGAAAGTAAATGATTTGATCAAATCCCTTAACTGTTTTAGTGAAAAGATGAAATAATATTGTTTAGATATTGAAAGTATTTATTTAGTAAATCATGCGTTATTAAAAGTAGAATAGGTAATGCAACAATACTCATAGAAACATAAATCATTCATTCGAGACTAATTAGTAAAAGAAACAGGTACCTAAGCTGATATTTTAAAAAACAAAAAGAATACTTTTAGGGAATGTAATTAATAAATAATTTATGTTTCTACGACTATTGTTGTATTATCTTCTCAACACTTAATAACGCATGAATTACTAAATTAATACTTTTAATATCTAAATAATATTATTCCATCTTTTCACTAAAACAGTCAAGGGATTTGATCAAATCATATTATTTCATCTTTTCACTAAAACAGTTAAGGGATTTAATCAAATCACTTACTTTCTTTAGGGAAATGACCTCACATAGTTGTTATTTTAACATCTCCCGTGAATTGATCATCTACCTTAGGGATTTGATCAAATCTCTATTTTTATCATTTCTCTGCGACATATATAAATCACAAAACTGAACAATTCATTTTTACATATTATTTCATATGGATTATTTTAGATTATAGATATTAAAAATATTATAGATATATTATCAGTAACATTAAAATTTCTTGGAACAAGACTTTCTGTCATGTGTCGTGCATACTTTTGAGAATTTAAAGAATTAAATCTGACCTCTCTTTTTCTATATTATTGTAATACAATAAATTATGTGTTACAAATAGTGAATCTCCGTTCATTTTCTCTTTATTTAAATTTGTTGCAACAAAACTTTCTGCCATGGGTTGTGTGTACTTTTAAAACCTCTAAGGACTGAAACCGATATTGCAATACGATAAATTGTGCGTTACAAATAGTGGATTTCTTTTTTCATTTCTCGATTTATCTTTAACATTCGAATTTCTTGCAACAAGACTTTCTGCCACGCGTTCTGCATACTTCTGAACTTTATTCTAATACAATAAATTGTGCGTTACAAATAGTGGACATATTTTTCCTATTTCTCACTTCATCTTTAACATTTCAAGTTCTTGCAACCATAACCGGTTTCGAGCACCATGAACTCTACACAAAGTACTATATATACATATGATATAAAAATTATTTAAAGTCATTCACTATGCAAATCATCTTTGTAAAAAGAAGTGAGATCCCCATAAAAAACTTCAAAAAAGTGAAAAAATTACGCCAAGTACATGAAAAAGTGGAGGACTCAAGGAGTTATCATAGAAAAATAAAAGATCCCCATAAAAAACTACAAGAACGTAGAAAAAGATGTAAAATCGAAATGAGCTGCCAGTACATGAAAGTCCTTTCCAAAATCACAAAAAAATAGAAGATCTCCATTAATTAAAAACTACAAGAAAGTAGAAAAAAGATGTGAAATCGAAATGAGCTACCAGTACATCAAGGTGCTTTCCAACAAAGTGCAAAGGCGACACTGTATAACACAATGTAAAATTCAATGGTTTCGAATTATGCGCAGCTAAAATGCTGTGTTCAACAGTGCGGACGTTCAGATCCTAATGACAATTCATGTAAAGTGACTGCTCCGCACTTTGGCGGTAAAATGAAGAAGCTAAATAGTGTATCATCCACAAACTGAGGCTGTTTAAAAATTTGCCTAGATGTCCGCGGCCTGGAAGTCAAATGCTTGGCGTGGCCAGGCAAGGTCGTGTTGATGAATACGGATTATTTTAAAACGCAAAAGAGTGAAAGTGTACTTATATTGTTAGAGTTTTAAACTGACAAATTATCTAAAAATTTGTAAGAGGAAAGGTATCGGTGTCGATGAATGACTGGCTTGCCGTTCCTACCGTAGTCTCTTCGTATCGGTTTCAAGAGGCACGGTCTAACCCGTAGCATTTTAAGTGGGGTCGAGAGTCGAGACCCCCTACTGTGCTTCCTGGTCTCGCAGATTTTCTTGTACCGAAAATCAGTAAACTTTTACGCGTAATATCTTAAAAACTATTTGTAAAAGGGTGTTTACATTAAGCTTGCTGAATTCGTCTTGAAACATACTATCTATTGATCAAACAAAAAGTATATAATCCCATTCGAAAAATCAAACGTAACTTTCATATATCTGTAAACAGTAATGATAAAAAAAAATTGTTACGGCCAATAAATCGGCCCCCTCTTGCCATTCAATTTCATATAAGAAACTTTTTTCGTATCTTTAATAGGTTACGAAATAATCGGCTGTCCAGGATTTCGTGGGACATACTGTAGAATTAGTCTAATTAGCCTAAGAAGAGTACTCATAAGCTGTATATAAAACCAGGACGATCCCGCAAGGGGAATAAACTCACACAGTTGAGATAACCACGAGTTAAAGTTATTTCTAGTCCTCTAACAACCCAACGATCTCAAATTCAGTATCCCTGGGCACCACCGACTGGATCGGTACGTCAACCGCTCCACGGTATAACGACATCACAACATGATACAACATTAAATGAACTAAAAAAAAGTTTCAGATTGTATTCTGCGAATTCAAACAAGACATTATAACATCGTAACAGTTATTGATCTGTGATCCTAGATATATACTGAAAAATTAAATTAATTTGACTTTAAATGTTTTTTTGTTTTTCCATGGCAAATAATAAAATAATTAAAGCATGAAAATATTTAACAAAAAAAAAATAATTAACAGATTCCACGCTCGTCGTAAGAATCAAGAGATTGAAAATCAACCTCAGTAAAAAGTTTTTCTCCATTAGCACCACCGTATTCCAATATCTCATATCTATTCATTTGTCCCTGTCTCTATCCATGCTTCATTGTATGTCACATACGTTACATTTTCCCGTTGGCATCCACCTTGTTTCGAAAATAAAATGATTTTCAATCATAAAAAACGTAACATTTAGGAAACGAACACAGAACAGCGCAACCATAGACCGACGCCTTAATCGATCGACCATATCGTTCACTTGAGAAATACGATATAGTCACGGGTATTCATGCTACACTACGTACACATAAAATCATTAATAACTCGAAAAATATTAATTTGGGATCCCTAAACATATACATAAAAATTAATTGTTTCTTGAAGATCTGTCGATACTCCCTGATCCAAAATGGATCCAACGCTGTGACCTTTGATCTCCATATTTTCGCAAACGGGTGCCTATCTAAAAAAAACCCGGAACATGGCTCAAATAGTTTTCAATAAAAAAAGTCTGTACCAAAGGACATAAAAATCGGTGAGCTACACTTGGAGACCTCCCCCTTTTTTTCCCGAGTGAAAATTCATTATTCACGGGCTCTCCGGGGTGAACTAGAGTTATGTTGAGCTGTCCTCGAACGGCGATCGCAGAGCAACAACTCAGCGTCCGCCATCCGAGGCCCACCCACTAAAAACACTCGCCTACCTAAGCTACAAGGGAGGTGTCTGGATCTCGCGAGTACTCAACAGAACACCTCCCTGCTATACATACTACCCGGGAGAGGGGTTAGTCTCCACCACTCCTTAATCTAACAGCGGAGGAACCCGCCGGGTGTCTTGAATGCTGGAGCCGTCGGTCCACCTGTAGGGATCACGTGTGAGGGTTATTGACTGAACTGCCTCGTTGTAACAAAACGATATTTTATTATATACATGTAGGAATCTAATGACTTTAAAACATATTACAGTTTGACAACGAATTATTTTTTGTTTGACATTTACAACTGTCTCGACCGAACTGAACTTCGAATTATTATAAATAACAAATTACACCGGAGTTCCTACGCAATCATTGCATACACGGATACACTCACACACTTACCCGTATATTATATATCACACTCCTACATACACAATAGCCGCGTATCGCACGCGATCCTTCTACAGGAAACACAAAGAATGAATTCTCGAACCTTTTCTTCTTGTCGGCGACACGCTTCTTTTTAGCTGACAGTCGCGGTCCGTAACGCAGGAATCCTGTCAGTGGCGCCACACATCCACGGCTCCCAGCGCCCTCGTGTCCCGCCTGGAGCAGGTAACCTGGGGGTCCCCGCACCGGGCAGCGCACGAGGGCATATCACAGAATTGACTTACAATTAGTACAATAGATGTAAACAAGAGCGTATCTAAAAGTGAGGAGTGAAAACCATGTTTTTTTAAATAACTTGAAAACTAAAGGAGCTAAGACAAACATTTTTTTTAAATTATGTGTTTTTGAATGGGTAATTCACTCTAGCCAGAAAAAATTGTTTATTTATTTAAATAATTTATTTTTGAGAAAATATTTTGTTGTTAATTTATCTTACTAAATGTTGTTTATCATTCATGAAAATATATGTGCGGAAACTACAGGTTAAAATAAGGGGTAGATGTTTTTGGAAATTTTGTTTTTTATTATATAACAATAATTATATTAAATGGAGAATTCCTCCTTCCACGCCAAAAATGTGGTTTCCTTATCATTTTTTTTCTTTATTAAAGTATGCAAGATTTTTATTTGAAATTTTACACACGTCTTAAGTATTATTTTAGTATGATGTACAAATTTTGTAACCCCTTGCATTACGATGTAATTTCCAGTTGTGCGCGCCAAAAGCGACACGAAGGTCGGTCACACGTAGGGACATCTTGGCTGAGCGTTCGAAATTGTACAAATCACAAACATCCTATAATTTGTATATACACATGCGCGGTACAATTAACTTTGCAAGACGTTTAATAAATAATTACGATTAGTTGATTACTAAACAAAAAAAAGATTTATTGTTGCAAATTAAATAATACATTAATAATAACATTTTTATTTTAATACAAAAATGTAGTAATTTTCGATGGTATGGTACCTCTTAAAACACATTGGTACATGTAATGCAACTTTACACTTTTTTACATTCCCACGTTGTCTCCCTGCGTTGTTTATGCTTTCTGCAAACTACACATCTTCTTTCTGCGTATAATTTCGGTGGGTGATTTTATAATACCTCTTAAGATATATGTAAAGTCGAATGCGAATGAGAAGTAACTGCATGTCGTGCCTCTATAATGTCTCTGCGACATTTGCTTATATTTGGCACGGCCTTCCCATCAAGTTTCTGAGCCGGCTTGTTTATGTTTGGCCCGGTAGACTTACGACGTCTCTGAGGCAGCATTGTAAGCTAAGGAGTTAATGTTACGGCCCGTTGACAGTGACGCCACAATGGAAATATTGGCCGCTGGTTGACTTGATTTCTATCGTTCAAATGAACTGAAGTACATAAATCAATCAAGTTTTATTTAATATGCGTTTTGTTATCCTCTAACAAAAAACAAAATTAAAAGTTTTCTTTCTCCAATGGCTAAAAGCAGAAAACCAAAGGTACAAGTGTGACGTTGCATCAGTCATCACTGAAGGAGAACATGAACTAGAGACTGATACACAGGTATACAGGTAAGACCACCAGGCGGTAGAAATCAAGTCAACCAGCGATCAATGTTTCCATTATGGCGTCACGGTCAACGGACCATAACATTTATATTTTTAGGTAAATCATTTCATTAAAGTTTGTACATCATACTAAAATAATACTAGAGACGTGTGTAAAATTTCAAATAAAAATTTTGCATGCTTTAAAAAAGAAAAGAAAATGATAAAGAAACCACATTTTTGGCGTGGAAGGAGGAATTCCCCATTTAATATAATTATTGTTATATAGTGAAAAACAAAATTTCCAAAAATATGTATCCCTTATTTTAACCTATAGTTTACCCATATAAATTTTCATAAATGA